GCTGGTCTGCAGTTCCCAGTTGGTCGTGTACATCGTTTCCTGAGAAAGGGCAACTATGCCGAGCGCGTCGGTGCCGGTGCTCCAGTCTACTTGGCTGCAGTACTCGAGTACTTAGCCGCTGAAATCCTTGAGTTGGCCGGTAACGCCGCCCGTGACAACAAGAAGTCAAGAATCATCCCCCGTCACTTGCAGTTGGCTGTTCGTAATGATGAGGAATTGAACAAACTGATGTCCGGTGTAACCATCGCACAAGGTGGTGTACTGCCTAACATCCAGGCCGTACTTCTGCCCAAGAAAACCCACGCCAAATCCAAGTAAATCGTACTAGCGTACACAAACCAAACGGCCCTTTTCAGGGCCACCACATCCTCCGAAATGAGAACTGCCGTAAATTGTGTAAATGTGTGAACTTATCGTGAATGTGCGCGTTTAAACGAGAGTACTTTTTAGCATTAAAGTTGCACTAATATACTGACATTTCACTGACCTTTATAAATGACACAAGTGCTTTGTATTCTGCATAATTCATCTTTGTTTATTGAAACACTTAAAATTCCTCAGAAGGATACACTAACTACTAGAACACATTTAAAACATACAAAAATTACTATTTAGAGCACGACAATGGTTTAAAAAAAAACTAGTGATAATAATAATAAAAAAGAAAAATATAAGGAAAACAAATATGGAGATGAATGGAAAAAAAAGTAATAAAAGATAAAAATATTTATGTTAATTTGTCAGACGGTGTTGCCGTCTAAGGTTCGTGTTATTTTTATGAATTATGAATAATAGTATGTCTAAATTGTTGGTGATACATTTTGTACACCAAAACCTCCAGTACAGGATAGCTTCTGTGTCTCAATCAATTGATTTTTATCATTTGCATAGAGATATTAATCAGAGAAAGATTTTCTGTCCAAAATACATCTGATTACATGCTGTCCGATAAAATTATAATTGGAAATCTTGATGAATTATTCGTGATTTATAGGAATTATGGTAATACTGTTTTTGATGATTTTTCGTCGATAAAGCAGTATGTTTCATATAAATTTTGTATATTCCAATTGGGTATTCAAACTAGAAGGGGAGGTCAACTTTAAGGCGGCGTTTGCGCTGTCAACGTACAATCTCGTAAGATTGTTTTTCCAGAAATACGCACAATGGTATGAAATGTACAGTGAATCAATGCATTTTTCATTATTTTGCAACGGAAGAACATGGTATTTCGCTCCGGTGTTACGTGGAAATGTGTGAATAAGAATTAACATTG